GAGCCAGCAGTCCTGGATTGTGAGAGGGATGTCCGACTGCCGGTTTAGGCCTGATCCCTGTAAACTGGCAGTAGGACATCCTTCGAGGGGTCCCAGATTGGAGAGGGTGCAGGCCGGGCTGAGGGACAACCTCCCCCCCCCGCCCGTGCACAAATTTCGTGCACTGGGCCACTAGTGTTATCATAGATGCAAAAGACAACAGTCTTAGTTGCGGTAAAGATTGACTTTTTTCAGGAAAGAATCTAGCCTAGGACATGATGACCTGCCATAAACTGCTTTTAGTTTAAAAGTTTTCATTTCAGACCATCCTTTGTGGTTACTTTAGGTCTCTGAGTTTGCAAGGCTGCCAGGGAGGCCTTCCCTGAGCTAGTCAGGTTAGCATGTGGCCCCTTTTCGTCCACACAACCACAGTGTTCAGGATGATGGTGAGACGCCTCCAAGGAAGGTGTTACTGGCTGAATGTAGATTGCTAGTGGTGAGTAACTCTGCCTCCAGAAATGCACCCAGTGTAAAGGATGATTATGGTAAACTAAAGAGTATCAACAAATTCAGAAAGGTTGCATTTCCTGGAGCAGGAAAACTTCCACAGATCCTTGGAGGATCAGCTCTAATAGCTCATCATGCTCCAAGAATGCAGAATTAGAAGAGTGGTTAAGGCAGGAAATGGAGGTGCAAATTCAACATGCAAAAGAAAAGTCTCTTGCTGACGATCACTTTAGATAGAACCCTAATGTAAAAAAGAGAAGATAACTGAGGATTTTATAAAGAAGCCATGGGAAAAACATTTCCTGTCAAGCATTGCTTCCTGTTTCCTCTGGGATACATGCATGTAGTAGATACAAGGAATTTAAATTACAAATATCCTATGGCCTGAATTTGTTAAATAAAACGCACAAAATTCCCTCCTTCTCTCTCCCCCGCCCCAAACAAAAAAGATTAGCTAGTGAATTTCCTTCACATATGGTCGAGGTGCTTTTTAAACTGCAGCCACATTGGTTTTCAAATTCAGATGTTTTGAGGGCCCATCTCTTTGGGGGCAGGTCCCAATGGTTGAGGTGGCTGGTGTGGGACACGAATCCCTCACTCCTCAGGGAGATACTGTGTGAAATTTCTCCTCATTGTGGGTCATCACATCTCTGCCTCACGGAGGCATCTCAATGTGGTCCTTTTATCTTTTGTTGTAGTGGGCTGTTCAGATAGCTTCCAGGCCTTTTTCAGATGGAAATGATTCATATGTAGTTGTTGATTTGGTGTGACCTCGGGAGGAGGTGAATTCAGGATCTTCCTGCACCACCATCTTGAACTGCCTTCATGACATATGCACTTTGAAATAAAAATTTTCATTCTGATATGTGAATTTGTTTTCTTGGACCTCTTTTATACAGTAAATGCAATGCATCTAACAACGTATACTTTCCCGAGGTTCTGAGTGAATATAGGACATTAATATTCTGTCCATTGAGTTATCAGTAATATAGAAACCGATCATAGAATAGTTGTTTGGTTTTCAGGATAATTTAAAATATTTTAAAATATATATACTTTTATTGATTTCAGAGAGGAAGGGAGAGGGAGAGAGAGATAGAAACATCAATAATGAGTGAGAATCATTGGTGGGCTGCCTCTTGCATGCCCCACACTGGGGATCCAGCCCTCATCCAGGCATGTGCCCTGACTGGGAATCCAATAGTGACCTCCTGGTTCGTAGGTCGACGCTCAACCACTGAGCCATGCTGGCCGGGCTCAGGATCATTTTAGATCATATGATCTGCACGTGGTTCCTAAGGAGTAATAGCACCTTCTCCCACACCACATTTGCTTTCAGGAAACATGTCAGTTAACTGAGGAGCAAGATCTATTCCCTATAAAACGTAACAAACCCCACCAGTACTAATAGCAAAACTTAACTAATGGGGTGGGGAATGGGGCTTACCTCCATGAGACGTTGATGAGGGAAACGTTTGATGGGTGTTTATTGAATTAAAATTGTCGATCTGCTCCCAAGAGAAAATCTAGGCACTGACTGTAAACCCTTAGCCTTAACGATAGCAGTCCTCAGGCTGGAAAATCTAGGCACTGACTGTAAACCCTGAGCCTTAACAATAGCAGTCCTCAGGCTGGCCTGGGAACTCCCAGACTCTTTCACAGTCCCTGGGGCGGGTGCAATTGCGGAAACCACCTTGAGATTCTTAAACATAAAAGTAAAACATGAAGATTCCCTTCCAGCTTAAAATTCCCTCTCCCATTTCAGCTTGCCTTTGGCATTCCTTTTTACCTAATTTCTCCTGCACAAAAATGCTGGTGGGAAAGCACTATGGGACCTGCCCCAGGGCCCTGCCTCCCTGAGAGATGCCCCCAGCAGGAGAAATGCCAGAGATCTCCTGTGGTTTACCAGGGAGATGTTCTATATTTCGTATTATCCTGGTCAGTTCTTCTGAATGCTTGTCTCTTAACTCTTCACAAACTTTAGGATAGAGGAGAGTTTGAAGAATATATAATAGTCTTGGTCATTGGTTAATATAGAGTAGTATTAGATGATGTGAAATTTTTACTTTTTATGTAAAACAGTTCTGTATCATTTGATTTCTTTTCCTGATCCTCCCTTTCTTTCCCCCACAGAGATCATGGCTTGCTATCATACGCAGAAAAAAAAGAGATTTTACAAGAGCAGAATTACTACACTTGATCTTAGCCAAAAGGCCAAGAAGCGATACAAGAACAGAATTAGAAAAAAAGCAATTTAAAACCCCACATAATATAGTAACGCACAGGTGTTAGTGTTCACTTGTGATTGCAGATGAGACAGGTAATAAACTGTTGGTGGTACGTTAATGAGAAAATGCACCATTTATACAGTAGTTACTGAATGTACATTAGTTTTTTGAGCAGAGTAAAATCCCAGAATAGACAGTAATCAATAGCATATAGAGTGCTTACTCTGCCAGGCATTGTTCTGGGAACTTTATATGGACTCTCTCATTTAATTCTCTCCACCATCCTAAGTAGTAGGTATTATACACGGAGAAGATAAGGTGACTACAAAGAAATGTGACCAGCAGAGATTTGAACAGCACTCATCCATTAGGAATGGACCTCTTTCTGCTGGGAACACTGAAACCAGCGAGGTCGCCCAGGCTCGTCCCAGTGGTGGCAGAGCTGGATTTGACTATCTCCCCAGGCTCAACAGTTGGCCACTCTCTAAGTAGATGTGGAATTCCAAGCAGATTCTACGACTCTGAAAAGAAGTATTCTGCTTGCCTTTCACCTCCTGAACCACTCTAAGGGCCATAATCAACTTCCGAAGGTCTTAGCAACGTAGTGCACATCCCACTAATTGATATTCTTTGTAGTGTAATAGCAAGAAACAGGTGTGGTCCAGTCTTGGATGACAAAGGAAGGTGTAGAACGTGGCAGTGGAGTTGTGTAAGAAGTTGCATTTCGCCGGCCCAGTGTTCTCTATTTTGGTGATCTGTTACACTTAGGACGATCCACCTCCATTTCAAAACTGGCTCTTCAAGTTTTCAGAGCCTCTTATCAGACTGAAACTCAGCCAAGGTTGAAGCTGCCCAGTGTCTCTGTGCCGGCCCACCCCCACTGCTGGAGGACTCCTATTTAGCACAGGCATTATCTGCAGAACCTGCTTGTGGGTGAGGTCATCTTTTTCTTTTCTTTTCTTTTTTTAAGCATTGTTCTTTTTTCTTCTTACTGTGGTCATGACCACAATCTTCAAAAGGAAGGGAAGGCTGTCCTCACACATGTTAAGAAACGCAGGCTTCTTTTATGTGCATGCTTTATTGTAACGTTTATATACAACATGAGTAGGATGTTGTAAACATACACTGCATCAAAACCAAGGTATATAATAAGTAGGCCAGGATCATCAAGTGGGTGATGTGCATCAGCAGGACAGTAATTTGGTATGTGCTACTTATATTTGTGTTTTAAAATGATAGCAATGGATTTTTGTTTTCTTTCTTTTTAAAAAATATTTTTATTGACTTCAGAGAGGAAGGGAGAGGGAGAGAGAGATAGAAACGTCAATGAATAGAGAGAATCATTGATTGGATCAGCTGTCTACTGCACACCCGTCCCCCCCCCTCCCCCGCAACTGGGGATCAAGCCAGGTTGCCCTGACCAGGGAATCAAACCGTGACCTCCTAGTTCATAGGTCACCGCTCAACCACTGTGCTAAACTGGCCAGACTGAAATTTTGTTTTAAATGCCTGAGAATTTACTTTCCAAAATGATCATTTATCTGTCATCCATGCCATTCTCTTAGGTTTTTCTTAAAGAACATCCATTGTGGGGAATACAGAAACAAAAGAAGGGTATATCAGTGAGCTTTGTCAGTATAACAAATCACCCTCAAATCATATTGTTATTTCTCATGATCATGAAAATTAAATGAGAGAATTCATATAAAGCTTCCACACAATACGTGTTAGAGAGTAAGTACTGGGTGGTTCTTTCGCTCAGCTCACCTGGGCTCAGTCACACAGCTGTAGCGGTGGGTCACCTGGCTGCTGGCCTCTCTTTCCTTGTGGTCTTCATTCTCCAGGAGGCTAGCCCTGGCTTCCCACATTGTGGTGTCAGTGTTCCCACTAGTAAGAGAGGGCAAGCCCAGATGTGCTAGTGCTACTCAAGCCTCTGCTGGCACCATGTTTGCTACTGTCCTCTTGGTCAAACCAAGTTTCATGACCAAACCCAGATTCACAGGGTAGGGGAATTGATTGGAGGTACTGCTAAGAATTTGTGGCCATTTTCTTTGGTAGTCAAATATAGTCTGCCTCTGGCAAAATTTATTCACATTTCTTCTACAAGAAACATATGCTCACCTTTATCCTAGGGTTCCCAGAAGTTTCATCCCATTATGGCTTAGTCTCTGAGTCTGGAGGCTTATCCACAACTTGCATCATTTTGGATCCGGATGGGACACCTCAGACTCAGCTCTTCAGATGGGAGCCTCTTAATCCTGAGACAATGGACTAGAAATAAATGATCTCCTCATACACATCCAACATAAGTGGTGAGGTTGGGAAAGGATTACCAAAATATGTCATCCATTAAAAACAAAGGTACATGGACAGGATACAAGTAGCAGTCACTGGGCCACAGCAATTCTAACCCCCAAGGCAATGGTATCGGAAGGCAGGGTCTTTGGAAGGTGATAAGGTCATGAGGGTAGAGTCCTCACGAGTGGGATTAGTGTCCTTATAAAAGAGGCCCCAAGAGCTTGCTTGCCTCTCCTGCCATGTGAGGACACAGCAAGGAGATGGACATTTATGAATGAGGAAGCAGGCCCTCACTAGATGCAGGACATGAGCATGCTGGTGCCCTGATCTCAGACTTCCAGCTTCCAGAAATGTGAGAAATAAATTTCTGTTTTTATAAGCTACCCAATCTCTGGTATGTTGTTATAGCAGCTCAAATGGACTTAGATAGGAATAAGTTCTCTATAAAATTAAAGACTTCAGAAACCTTTTTTAAGGGAGGTTCAGGAAAAAGAAGCTAGTGTAGCTTTGTGGTTTACAGATGGTCTATCAAATTAGGGAATGGGGCTAATTACCCATAGGGGCTGCACAGCGCTCAGCTGTAGAGAAGATGTATGGATCAAATAAAGGAACGGCTGCTTTGATTTATAGAGCATTTCTGCAGAATGCATCCAAAAGCATGTTGCTATAAGTAAAACCCAAGCTGCCCACTGCCTGTTTATTGACTGTGCATATTGAACTTCCTTCTCTCTCTTTAAAAAAAAAATTTTTTTTATTGGTTTCAGAGAGGAAGGGAGAGGGAGAGAGATAGAAACATCAATGATGAGAGAGAATCATTGATCGCCTTCTCCCGCACGCCCCCTACTGGGGACTGAGCCCGAAACCCAGGGCATGCACTCTTGACTGGAATCGAACCTGGGACCCTTCTTTCAGTCTGTAGGTTGATGCTCTATATACACTGAGCCAAACCAGCGAGGGCCCTTTTTCTCTTGAGACATTGGCCGAAAATTCTGATTGAGGGAACTGAAAAGTGAAAGTGTCAGGGAGAAACAAATGAGTACAAGTGATTGAAGAGTGGAGGCTGCTCTTTTTGATTAGACTTTCCCAAAATGCTTTGGAGAAACTCCTTCTGCATTTTGCTTTAGAAGAGAAACAAGACATATTTTTCATTATTTCTTCTAGCCTTGCACTTTTATAATAATTCATCTCAATTAACACTCTTCAAATTCTCAAATTGTGTTTTGAGTAAACCCCAAGAAATTAAACTATTAAGTGTGTTCTTGCCAATACACTTTAGGATCCAGCACAAGTTTTTTGTTTTGTTTTGAAATTAACTTTGGAGCAGCAAGAAGATAAGACTTTTTTTTTCCAGCCTATATATTTTTTTAGAGATTCAAAGAATGATTTTTCCCTCTTAGATGTGTCATTTTAAAAATAAAAAAAATGGAGCAGAACAATGGGTTTTACTCAGTTGAATGAAATTATTCATCCACTTATGGATCTGAATCAATCTGTTTGGGAAAGTGCACTTGTTATCCTTGAAGGATTGTATTACTATGGCGTGTCCTATAAAGTACCACTAAATCAGTGATGGTGAACCTATGACACGTGTGTCAGAGGTGACACACGAACTCATTTTTTTGGTTGATTTTTCTTTGTTAAATGGCATTTAAATATATAAAATAAATATCAAAAATATAAGTGTTTGTTTTACCATGGTTGCAAATATCAAAAAATTTCTATATGTGACACGGCATCAGAGTTAAGTTGGGGTTTTTCAAAATGCTGACACGCCGAGCTCAAAAGGTTCACCATCACTGCACTAAATTATTGTGACACAGGACCTCTGGGATTTCCTGGCCCCTACCAGTGCTTGTGGTGATGGCTGGGCTGGAGGGACTGGATGAGGTGGTGGAGAGAGGTGTATTCAGGGTAACCACATGGGGCTACACTTGTGCCCAGCACAAGGGTGCCTGGCCACATGGATAAGAGGGTCTGGAGAGCCATCAATGCCCAGTTCACCAGGCTCTGTGCCCTGGGGCAGGGGTGCATCCTCCTGGAGAAAGAGGCACTCTCCTAGCTTTCACAAAGATGTCATGTGGTCGCTACACAAAGGCTCATTAAGGCGCCATATGGAGCAGTGGTGAACCTAGGCATAAAGCCATTCTGATTTGTAAATCATCATTTTCTTTTAACAAGACTTTAAAAATTGGAATAAAATTAGGGTATAGGAGAGATAGATGGTAAAATCTGAAAATAAGAACATGGTAACTTCATTTGTGAAGTAGGGGAGACATTGGGAATAAATATATAATATAATCTTTTTAGTCACTAATAACTGAATGGTGTGTGTGTGTGTGTGTGTGTGTGTGTGTGTGTGTGTTTGTGAATGTGTACTTTAGTCCTAAATGAAGCAAAAGTATCTAATACAAAGAAATGTATTAGAGACTACTCACATGACAGAGGAGCAGTCTCTAATACATTTCTTTGTCATAACTACAAAAAGAAGGCCCTTCGATGCTTTTGGATTTGTTTTCCTCCTGTAATCTACAAATACCTCTCTATAATAAACCTCACATGACTTGCACATTGCCCTGCTCTGCATTGTGTATCTACATGTCTGAAGTTTCTCCATTTGTGAAAATATTTTAACATATTGCTGTGAAACAAGGGAAAGGTTTGTTTCCTGATAGGAAAATTTTGCTTAATACATATATTGCTTAATGTACTATAATAATGCATGGATTACATAAATAATTCCTTTTAACTTAATTCTCTCTTCAAAGACCTTATCTCCAAATATGATTATATTCTATGTTACTGGGTGTAGGGCTTCAACATATGAATTTGGCGGAGGGGAGTGTATAATTCAGCTCGTAACCATGTAGTAACATTTTCCCCTTGTTCTCCTTAGAGTAAGTAGGCACAAAGTCTCTCTTCTCTATGATCAGAGATATGACTATGTGTTGTTTATAACTGGTTTCCTTGGAAGCAAGTAGGGAACAATGACTTCCATGGTTGATCATTGTAGCACCCAGAGATTGGATTATTTATGTAGGTATCACCCCCACTCATTGGTCTTTTGAAGTAAGTACAAACCTGCTTTCTGAACCTCTCTTTCCCTATGTTTGTGAATCTTTCCCTATCAATTGCTTGCTCATCAAGTTGGCCCTAACCTGGGGACTATTATAAGTTGTCTGGAACTGTGTAGCGTTTGTGTGTAAAAAGCTACCACAATAACTATCTATGGAATGGGTCAGAAATTTCGGTGTGCATTTGAATAACAGATCATCCTAGTCCTACAGAATCAGAAACTTGAAAGGGCTCAGACATCTGTAATGTTTGTAGTTGTCCTGAAGATGCTGTTGCTTCCTAAAGTCTGAGAGCCACTGTGCTAACCATTTGTCTGTTTCTTTATTTTCTCTTACATCCAATCTTATTGCCCAATGAAAGAAGGGTTGTGCAATTTCCCCTTCCTTCCCTGAGAGATCTAGTTCTCAGGACAGATGATGTGCATGCCTGAAAAGAGAATTAGAAAGCAGAAGCAGATTTCTGATAGTTGGTTAAAATTTTTCTTTGGAATTCTTCATCTCTGTGTGAATCAAAGCAAGATTTATTTTAGCAACTCTATGAATATAACTAGTGTCCAGGTGGATGGATTCATGTACATTGAAAGGAAATTAATTAGTCCCTCCAGTGCAGGGAGTAATGTAGGTGGTCCCAAGTGGTGGCTAGCAGGGCGGGACTGGGCAAAATGGGCCGGACATGCCCTAGAGCCAACCTCCCGTGGTCCCTCCGCAGGCAGCCGCACCTGGCCGGTGCCACAGCTCGAAGGGCATCTGTGGAGTGAGCGGGGTCCCTCCAGCAGGTGGGATCCCTCGGCCTGTCCTGCAGGGATCAGCCAAAACTGGCTCTCCGACATCCCCCAAGGGGTCCTGAAGTGCAAGAAGAATTGCAAGGAATGGGCTCCCTCCTCTCTGATTCCAGGGTGCATCACCTGTGAACTGCCGCTGCCAAGTGACCACAGCTCTGCAACTCCTGCGTTGAGCACCTGCCCCCTGGTGGTCAGTGTGCGTCATAGCTACCAGCCAGTCAGCTGGTCAGACGGTTGCTTAGCCTTTTATATATATAGATTTACTAAAGTTTATTACATTGTTCTTTATTACAATGAGACAGGAAGGTCAATGGAATTGTTTGATTTTTCTTTCTAATTTACCATCGTTCGTTCGTTTGTTCGTTCTCTTTCTTTCTTTCTGTCTTTCTGTCTTCCTTCCTTCCTTCCTTCCTTCCTTCCCTCCCTCCCTCCCTCCCTTCTTCCTTTCTCTCTTTCTCTCTTTCTCTCTCTCTTTCTTTCTTTCTTTCTTTCTTTCTTTCTTTCTTTCTTTCTTTCTTTCTTTCTTTCTTTCTTTCTGTTAATCCTCACCCAAGGATATTTTTCCATTGATTTTTAGAGAGAGTGGAAGAGAGATGGAAAGACAGAGAGAAATATCAATGTGAGAGACATATCGATTAGTTGCCTCATGCATGCGCCCAGACCAGGACCTGGGCCAGGGAGGGACCTGCAACCAAGGTACATGACCTTCACTGGAATTGAACCCGTGACCCATTCGTCTACAGGCTGATGCTCTATCCACTGAGCCAAACTGGCTAGAGCCCATAGTTCCCTTTTTAGAATCTCACAGTTCAGAATGAAGCTACTGGTTGTGTAGATTAGTTTGATGTTCTTTCTGTGCCTAGTTCTATACTGTGATATAATTGCAGCAAGGAATATACCTGAACCTTTGGGGGACGTTCTTAGAAACAGCAGCCTCTTTGGTTGACTTTGTTGTAATTTTCCTAATGCTTGCACCTTGGCAACCAGGAGACTCTCTAGGTCAATGGGACCAACTCATCTAGGGGCTGGACTGGGTCAGAAAGGCAAGGTGAAAGCCACCATCTTCTCTGCACCTCCACAGAGAATCTTTAATTCCACATACTCTTCCTTTCTCTCTCCTTACCAGATTATGGAATGAGCCTTCGAATAAGCTTAGGCCAGTGATGGCGAACCTTTGGAGCTCGGCGTGTCAGCATTTTGAAAAACCCCGACTTAACTCTGGTGCCGTGTCTCATATAGAAATTTTTTGATATTTGCAACCATAGTAAAACAAAGACTTATGTTTTTGATATTTATTTTAGATATTTAAATGCCACTTAACAAAGAAAAATCAACCAAAAAAATGAGTTCGCGTGTCACCTCTGACACGCGTGTCATAGGTTCGCCATCACTGGCTTAGGCCTTCACCTAATGTAGGACCCATGACTTTATGGTTGTTAGAACTTGAAAGAGAATGACCATCCTGAACATCATCCAAGACCATTTTCTGTATGATTGAAGTGTGCTTTGCTCTTTATATTATGTACGAAGTGATTCTTGGTTTTAGGAGAGCAATATAGAACATGGACAAGATGCAAGGAAGGCATTATCACCTATTCTTGCCTTGTTCATGAAAATGTATCCATTCTCTCTCCCATCTACCTCTTGCATAGTATAATAAATTGAATATTAACTACAACAGATGGATACAGCTCAACTCCATACTAGCTAACTAATGTACTTTCCCCAGATAAGATAGTAACTTGGCTGTAATGCATATGAGCCCCCCTCACCAGGCCTCCCAGCCCAGAGGACTTGTGTCAGGAAGAGGAGTCCCCATAACATCTGGCTTTGAAAACCAGTAAGGATTACAGCTGAGAGAAATGAAGGGCTGTGGAAGACCAAGATATTATTCTTAAAGGACTCAACCACAAGCTTGCTCACGCTGAGCTCCAGTGCAGAGGCAGCAGTTGGAGAAGTGCCCGGGTCATACAGGGAGAAATTTAATTGACTAACCCTAGGGTAGGGCTGGAGGGGCAGGGATGGGTGGTAAATCTCTCTGGGGATGGAAATTTTGGCAGATGCCATTGTTCCATTGTTATATTCTCCTTCCACCTGGCTGGTCCAGATCTGTCACTCTCCAATAACCTGGCTAACACCGTTTGCCCTGGCATGGCATTCCTCAGAGATCCTCCCATGCCCAACCTGCTTGCCCTGGCAGAAGTTCATCCCAAGCATGCTCCTGGCCCTCCAAATGGGTGGAGGCCAGCCTTGGCTCACCGTGCAGTCTTTCCCAAGCACTCTCGAGCTGGCATAAGCAGCGACCAGCCTCAGCTCACGTTGAAATTGCTACCAGGCAGCGCCAAGGCCAGCACGAGTGGCAGCCAGCGTCAGCTTGAATTGTAGCCTTTCCCAAGAGGCCACAAGGCTGGCACATGCAGTGGCTGGCCTTGGCTTGTTTCCTAGCTCCCACCAAGCGGTTGCAGGCCAGTCTCAGCCTGCACTGGAGTCCCTCCCAAGAGGCTCCAGACCTGACATGTCCTTGGTTAATAGGGAAGTCTTTCATGACTCACTTTTATACATTTGCTGAAGATAGTTGAGAGTATTGTGGTTAAGTGGAGTACTCTGGAGCCCAAATGATTACTTATTGGTGACCTTGGATAAGTTCTTTAATCTTCCTATGCTCAACTTACAAACTCTGATCATGACAATACCTACTTCATGGAGTCTGTATGAAGATTAAAGAGGGTATCACATGAAAAGTGCCTAGAAATTGGTTACTGGCCCTACATAATAGCTACTTTTATGGAAAAAAATATGGACATAGCATTATTTTGCCTTGCTAAGTGAGGAAATGATCACAACAACCTTTATAAAAACAGAAATTCTACTTGAGCTGCCAACTTGTTTCAAAAAGCCATTAAAAGTGGGCAAATATTGCTGCTGTGTGATGGATAAATGGGAGTGTGTATTATTATTGCTACTTAGCTGGTGTAGGATTGAAATTTTCCATGTAATCTCTTGTTTTTAAAGCAGCTTTGTCAATGATGCTTCCCACTAGAGACCTTGGAGGAAACTGTGTATCTTTCATTACTGACTCTTTATCTGGCTTGTGCTATGTGATTCCTGCCTAAATATATATCTTATTTCTGCTCACCTCTCTTATTTATTAAAATTGCATTAAACACTTAACTATTTCCTTATCTCCTTTACTTTTAATATCTTCCATGAGTGTGTATTTTGGTTTTCTTCCTCAAACATTTGTAAGCACTGAGTATTGAACAAGCACTTAACCTGAAGTATGTTAGTGATGCCCAAATTAATGATATTGGGCAGAGGAACAAGGGAATTTCAACTTCCAAATTTTATACTTCCTTATTAGATTTTTGTCTTTGTGTATTTTGTTGTTGTTTTACTTCAAGCATGTTTTACTTTTATAACATTTTTAAAAGAAAAAAATTTAAACCATGATTTATATAGTCACTATTTAAAGAATCATTATGATGAACAGGACTGAGACTGAAATAGACATAAAACAGACATTTAGACTTGGCCCCAAAGCCTTCTAAATTGACTCTCTTGATTTCAAATTACAATCTTTGCAAGTATTTTTTTCCTTTTGCTGTGTCTGTTTTGATTTGCAATTATTGGAGAACTTAAAAGCAAGAAAAAGATTGGTTCCCAATGCAATCTACAATTTTATATTGCTGATTGAATCCTGGGCACCTGTAATATTGAACTGCAGAGACCTACAGGGTATAAAATACAACTGTGTTCATGATTCTTAGTCATATTCGTCCTTTACTTGTAAGCAAAACGTCATAGCACTGTTAGCTATTAGTGCATTTATTATACCCAGAAATAAAGAATTGGTAGTGCTGAGCAAAATGTTTCTTTATTTTTTAAAAGATTTTTAATTGATTTTTAAAGGGAGAGGACAGGAGAGGAAGAGAGAAACGTCAATGCAACTGGGCATGTGCCTTGACCAGAACGAACCTGGCAGCCGTTCCCGGCACGAGATAATGCCCAACCAACTGGACCACACCAGCCAGGGCAGAATACTTCTCTATTGCTCTCACTAGAGGAATTTAACTTTGGTATCTCTACCTGCAGGCAACATGAAGGACCGTCTAGCAGAACTTCTGGAGTTAACCAAGCAGTATGACCAGCAGCTCTCCGACGGGGACGATGAATTGGACTCGCCCTACGAGGACTTCGTGTTCGAGACAGACCACATCCTGGAGTCCTTGTACAGAGACATCAAGGGCCTTCAGGATGAAAACCAGCAGTTGATGATCGACGTGAAGCGGCTGGGAAAGCAGAACGCCCGCTTCCTCACGTCCATGCGGCGTCTCAGCAGCATCAAGCGCGACACCAATTCAATCGCCAAGGACATCAAGGCCCGCGGCGAGAGCATCCACCGCAAGCTGCGCGCCATGAAGGTGCTGAGCGAGGCGGCCGAGGCCCAGCACGGACCCAACTCGGCAGTGGCGCGCATCTCCCGCGCGCAGTACAGCGCGCTCACCCGCACCTTCCAGCGCGCCATGCACGAGTACAACCAGGCCGAGATGAAGCAGCGCGACAACTGCAAGATCCGCATCCAGCGCCAGCTGGAGATCATGGGCAAGGACGTGTCGGGCGAGCAGATCGAGGACATGTTCGAGCAGGGCAAGTGGGACGTGTTCTCAGAGAACCTGCTGGCCGACGTGAAGGGCGCGCGGGCGGCCCTCAACGAGATCGAGAGCCGCCACCGCGAGCTGCTGAAGCTGGAGAGCCGCATCCGTGATGTGCACGAGCTTTTCCTGCAGATGGCGGTGCTGGTGGAGGAGCAGGCCGACACCCTGAACGTCATCGAGCTCAACGTGGAGAAGACCGTGGACTACACTGGCCAGGCCAAGGCGCAGGTGCGCAAGACCTTGCAGTACAAGAAGAAGAACCCCTGCCGGACCATCTGCTGCTTCTGCTGCCCCTGCGTCAACTAGCAGGTTGGCCTGGGACCCCGCACCCCCTCTCAACGGGAATGGGCTGGGAAGCGCACTGGGAAAGATTTGGGGGCTCCCTTCACTGGGGCGAGTTGTCCCAACTCGTATGGACCTCAGTTTTTAGAGAAAGAAGAAACGCGAGGTCCAAAAATTCCAACCCAGCCCATGCTTGGGACTATAGTTGATGCCTTCCGATGTTTCTGCAGTAAGTACAGAGATACCCTGAAGTTGTGTGAGGTCGTTATATGGCAAATTGCATCCTTGCCCTCTTAACAGAAGCCACATAAAGAACTGACTAGCGAACTGGAGGGTACATGTCCCAGGCATGTTTCCTAGTGAAATTCTAGGAGGAAGTCAATTCCGCATTGGCTAATAGTATGAACTCATCAAAACAAATTGATACCCTCTCCTGAAAGTCTCTTGGTTCTGTTCAATTTCACGTCTTTCATTTCCACTCCTCATCTGGTTTATGCTGTGTGATTCCTGTCTAGAAGTATACCTATTTCCTTCCTGCTCACCTCCATACTTATTAAAATCACATTTAACACTCACTATTTTCTTATCTCTTTACTTTTAATATCTTCCATCAGAATATAGTTGGGATTTTTTTTCCCAAATATTTTTAAGCACTGAGTATTGAACAAGCCCTGAAATTGATGTGTGTATCAGTCACATTTTATATATTTTTCATAACTAAAAATAATTTAAAATTTATCTTTTTTTACTTGATTGTTACAAATGCACATATACATATGTAAATTGTGAAGTACTAATATTCACTAACACATGTACATAATGACTAATTGGTTTTCATTTTACTTTTGTAAATATAAACTATAAATATCAGAAAAAACACTTTTACTGGTTATTGGTGTTGGTTGTCTTGTTTTGAGTTTATCTCATTCCCATCTGCATATCCAGTCCAATTTGGGCAGGAACTTTATTTTGAACAACTCTGTGTCAGTTATAGTGATAAAGACAGATGTCAACAGCTGAAAATAAATCCAGAACTAGATAATAAAATAAATTTCTTGGAAATATGACTTTTGTTTTACTGTGGACCATTCCTTTCATGCATTTACATGGAGTAATTTAAATTAAAATATTTCTTTTTAAGTTAGTTTAATAAACATTACATTATCATTTTCCCTTTTATGTATTTGTACCTTAGTTTACTTTCTCAATTATTGTGTTGAAAATTCTTGTAGCTTCTTAAAGTTGCAACATCTGGATGGAACTCTGAATAGCGAAGAAAAAAATGAAAAAGCATTCATATGGGAGTGTGTCTTCCTTTCTCTCCTAAGTTACTTACAACAGTTTAGCAAAATCATCATGTTTTAAGGATTTGCTTTCATTTGCAAACTTTGGAATGTCCTTAAACCCACATTCACCCTGCTTCCAGTCTTCCTCCTGAGTCAACTCTGAACTCTTTCTACTCATTATTTAATAAATGAGAATTTATTCAGCTGCCACAATTCTCAGGTCCTTCAGCCAGGGATATTTTAAAAGGAGTAGAACGAAGAATGTGTGAACTCTGTAACCCGCTGACTAAACTGCTTACGACCGTGAAAATCTACCCCTGCACCTAATTTTAATTTCATGCTTAAATATGAGAATTGTGGAAACCAAGTCCCACCAGGCTCTTCTCAGATTTCTCACAATTTCTTTCTCAGCTAACTCCAGGGATGTTTCACCTGTGGCCTAACTTGGTCGAATTCCCTTTCCCTAAAAAATAAGTCTTCTTCATACAGCTCCATTGTCTTTCGTGGAAGAGAAGAGATGTGGAGAATACAGACCACCAGCTAGTTTGCACAAGAGAGAATAATTCATGCATTTGACTTGTTTAAACCCATAAAGCATTTTCTTTGCTTAGAACCATTCATAAAAATAAAGGCGTTTGCAGGCTCCATGTACTTTTGAGTTCCCCATATTTCACATTGAAGAATTGGGTAAAAACTGCACTTTAATATACTAAGAGATTAGTTACCTCTTGCCTAGGAAAAGGTAAGAATTTTTCTTTCTGCTTTTTAGTAACCGTCTGGGTGTGACAGTGGCTAAGAGCCCAGATTCAGGACCCCACTCACTGTCTCTGCCTCATGTTGGCTGTATGACGTGGCATGCTACTTAGCCTCTGTGCCTCAGTTTCCTCATCTGTAAAATTGACACACTGTACCTCGTAGAGTTGTTTGAAGAAATAAAATGATTAAATATGTAAAAGCACTTAGAAAGCACCTGGCATATGCTACGTGCTATGTTTATTATTGTTATTAAATAATTTTCTCGTGGACTTGAGTAAATGAATAGTTTTTAACGTCTGAGGAAAAATAAACACTTATTTTTCTGTTAAGTCTTTTGAAAAATGGAATAAGGAAACCAAGACCCTATCTTCTTTGACTATGAGGCCTTTTTTTTCTACAATGAAAAAACTATTTTTCACGGTGGCATTTCTATTCCTTCTTATATCCATACATGTCCTGGAAAAGAAATTCAATGTTCCATTCAAAAAAGTGAAGCAGAAAGCAGCTGTTCTGCTCAATTTGGCAAGTGCTTTCCCCCGATTCTTCCCAAGCTGTGAGTCCCAAAGCCCCAGAAGGAGTTCAGCTGTGGAGGCCCATCACAATAGACCGAGGGGAAGGGACCTGGTGGCTTTTCCCACATCCTGCCCTGTTTTCCCCGGAGCCTTTCTTGGCTCTGACTGCCAGGCCAAGCAGTGGGTAAAATGCTGGCTTTCTGTGCAGGAAAGGGTCCTCCAGCGCCACCCAGAGATGCTGTATGTTGGTTCCCCCAATCTTGTGACGCTCTGAAGAGTGACTTTGGGCAAAAAGACTTTGTGGTAAATCTGCAAAATTCATACACTAATGTCATTTCATGTACAAAGTGAAGGAACCCACCACAAAGAACAATAGCGCCTTCAGGGGCTGAAGGTGGAAATCTTTTAAAGCTATTTTAACATAGGCCACGACTACTTCCAACTAACCAAATGCTGCACTTTCCATAGGTTATAGGTGGTGACAACTCCAGAAACATCAGAGATAGGAGTGGTGCTCCCCTAGGAATCAGTATCCAGCATAATCTGAAGGACAGTTTTTTTTAAATATGTTTTTATTGATTTTTTAGAGAGAGAAGAAGGGAGAGGGATAGATGTAAATATCGATAAGAGAGAAACATCATCAGTCCGCTGCTTCCTGCATGCCCCCTACTGGGGATGGCGCCCGCAACTCCGGCCTGTGCCCTGACCAGGAATTGAACTGTTGACCTCTTGGTTCCTGGGTTGATGCTCAACCACTGAGCCACACAGGCTGGGCTGAATTACAGTTTGTTTTTTAAAATATATTTTTATTGATTTCAGAGAGGAAGAGAGAGGGAGAGAGAGAGATGAAAACATTAATGATGAGAGAGAATCATTGATCAGCTGGCTTCTGCATGCCCCCTACTGGGGATCGTGCCCGCAACCCTGGCATGTGTCCTTGACTGGAATCGAACCCGGGACCCTTCAGTCAGCAGGCTGATGCTCCACTGAGCCACACAGGCTGGGCTGAATTACAGTTTTTTTAAAAGCCGATCAATAATTTTAAAATGTTTGAACTGAGACATCATGGGAGGAAGTTTCTGTCCTTTCAAGGTAATGACTTGGAGAGAGTAGTGTTTTTGCACTAATGCTTTATGTTTACTTAAAAACAGCCCCAATGCTTTATGGTTAAAAGTCAGTTAAATGTCATATGCAAATATTTTTCAGGCTCTACAATATAAAGTTCCTATCTTGACAGGAAACTACTAAAGATAGTGGATAGCTTAAAAATAATAAAATAGGGTGTCTATAGTCTTAGACTTTATGTATTAATCCTATCATTCTATTTGCTATTATCAGACATAATTTCTACTCCTCTCTTTGAAATATGCCAAGTATCTCTATCTGCAGAATTCAATTCCCTCATTTGTAATCAAGAGGATAGTTTGAAACATCCAGTAGTAATCAGAGTAACAGTGGGCTTAGTTTTGATAGCAGAATTGAAAATCATTGCAATTAATGCAATGGGGCTATTAGAAATGGAAAGTGAATAGGATTGAGAATGTAACTTCCCCAACACATAACTATTGAGCATCTTTATTACCAACATGTGTTATAAAGAATAGACAAGGTATTCTTTTGTTGTAAAGATTTTACATTGCTAGCGAGAAAGAAAGCTTTCTGAATTGGTGATCTGGGTGATACTACACAGGATGCTTTAAAACCAGTGATATCCTGACAAGTGAGGAGGGAGAGACAAGTCCCATCATTATCATTTTTCTAATTCCTGGTGTTTATTTTAAAAGTATTCTTTAGGGACTCTTTCCCCCTCCCCACGTGGGAGTCTGTGCTTGTTCTTCAATAAATTTCCATCTTTGCTAAAAAAAAAAAAGTATTCTTTATACCCTTTTTAATTGCAAGTATTCTTAGCTACTTGGACCTCTTTATTTATATATATATATATATATATACACATTTTCATGGTTCTATAGCCATTTCTTTAGACATATTTCTCCCTTTATACCCCCATATCCCATAATATTTTATAGTGGGTAAAAATAACAGAGCATGCAATATATATATATATGTCCTTATTTCTATTTTCAAATAGGCTCAGTTACTAGTATTTGCACATGCCCAGTTTAGCTATCCCAAACAGAAAAGCACTTGAAGCTGTGTAATAGGAACATACGTGTAATGCATGTGTTCCTATGTGTCTGTGCCTAGATCTTTATGTTTTTCATGAATGTGGTCTCCAGTTATGTGTCCCTTTTGCCTGATACCTCCTGGATACTTAGGTTACTCATACTAGGGGATACTAAGCACCATAAATCTGTTATGGAAGAAGGTAGGGAAAGAAGAAAAGAAGGAATGAGTAAGTACCCACACACACCAAAGCTCCCTGGCTGAGGCAGAGCAGTGCCTCCATTTTCTAAGTCTTCTTGGCGATGGATGATACCTCATATTTGTTCTACACTTATTCCCCACCCCCTCAGTTTCTTTGTTTTGTTTGCCAAGTGTGTTGAATTTTCACTATTTGCATGTTCAGGTTTGTCTAAATTATGTTCAACTGTTTGCTCTGACCCTACATCCTGACTGCTGTTCGTCTGCGAGTTTTCCTGGCTGTCTTTCACCCTGACCTTCAACTTATGCACACATTGGGCACTAATCTGAGTCTGACCACGCTTTGCTCAATAGTTGTCCCAGTCCACAGCAGATAGATATGTCACTCAACCAACAGAATACCCATTGGTATAAACACTTTCCAGTTTACAGAGTGCTTTGATCTCATTTTTTTTTCATGACAAGCCTGTGAAGTGATATTGCCATCTCATTTTTCGAAGAGGTGGAAACTAAGAACTCAGTCCTCTAACATTTGACAATAGTTATGTACTTCTGTGTGTCTGTTTCTTACTCTCACATTACTAAGCTTCCTCTCTAGGAATGTTTATGTCAACATCAATCTAGAAGCATAAATTGCATGAAGAGACAGAGAATGTACATTTTCTTTGACTAATCTCTGTAACATTAATAAAACATGTTCTTTTCTTGAACTTCTGACTCTACATTCCTCACCTCCCCCTACCTTTAGCTCCTCCTCCTCAGTCTTCCTTGCAGATTCCTCTCCCTCTTCCCAGTCCTCACTGCTGAGTTTGCATTCAAGGCCTTTTCTCAGCCTACCCGATTTCCCCAGGCTACTCCTCTCACTCCCAGAGTTTCAAATACCGCTTATGCTGATGGCTTCCAGATTGGTATCTCCAACCCTGACTTCTCAGCTGAGACTTGGATCTGTACCTCCCACTGTCTATCAAACAACTGCAACTAAATGTCCCACCAGCACTTTTATTTTTTTTAATTTTTTAAAATATATTTTATTGATTTTTTACAGAGAGGAAGGGAGAGAGATAGAGAGTTAGAAACATCGATCAGCTGCCTGCTGCACATCTCCCACTGGGGATGTGCCTGCAACCCAGGTACATGCCCTTGACCAGAATCGAACCCAGGACCTTTCAGTCCGCAGGCCGATGCTCTATC